ATATATATATATATATAAGAATGGGATATTTATTTATTAATCTGACAGATTTTTGTTGTCATTCGTATTTAAGTGGAGGCTCCGTTTATTTATTAAAGTGTATATTTACTTAATTCCGTCTTAGTGCCTCAGTTTTTTTTTAAAAATTATTAGACAAAAATATGTTTTCTCCGACAGGGTGTTAAATAAATAAATATACTCTTTAATAAATATATATATATATAAGAAAAACATATTTCTGGTGTATGCTATATTTATGGGCTTAATATTACGGATAGAGTATATGTAAATATGAAAATGGACATTAAAATGAAAGCCCAGGAGTGACAATCTGTTTTCTGCATATGTGCATTCTACAGGCCATGTGCGTTGTGTTTTTGACTATATATATATATATATATATATATATATATATATATATATATATATATATATATATATTTATTTATACGCGCTCTATCTCTGATATTAAGCACTTTATCCCATAAATATAGCACATCTTAACACTATATTTCTTCATATATATATATATATATATATATATATATATATATATATATATATACGGTGTAACCCGGATATAAGAGAAACCCGGATATAAGAGTGATTTTCTCTGGTCCCAAATTAGAGCCTGTGTTAATGTATATAAAATAGACCAAACCCGGATATAAGAGAAACCCGGATATAAGATACTTCTTCTCTGGTCCCGACAATATATATATGCGTTTGTATGTGTGTATATGTGTGTGTGGGTATGGTTGTAATTTGGTGTAGAAATTTAGTATGTATGTCGTCATTGTACCATGCAGTAGTGCCGTTTTACGTTGGTGGTGGTTAGGTATAATGGTATGGAGAATGTTTTTTTCGGTATACATTGCGGCCCTTCGTACAAATAAAATATCATTTAAATGCCATGCCCTTTTTTTCTATATGCCATATCTCTTCAGGACGTTGGCGATTATGACTCTCTACAATTTCCTGTCCTTTTTAGCTCTTAATAAATTTTGTGTTTTTGTTATCTCTCCCAAACCTTACTCTGCCATACATTCACTCAAACTCGCATCATAGGTTTTAGGCTTTGCTTTCCTATACATCTCTTTCGTGCGAATGACAAATTTTCCAAACCCTTTTTCTGTCCTAGAAATTTTAAACTGTCTCTTCCTGGTATATATGTTCTTTTTGTTTTCATTGTTTTTATAACTTCGTCGTTACCCACGTGTTCAGTCCATGGTGTCCTCATTATCCTTCAGTAGAACAACATTTCTGTTGCTTCAAATCTCTTCTTCATCTGTGAGGAGATTGTCCAGCAATCGCTGTCATAGAGGAGGAGGACTATTATGTAACAGTTCAGTACACTTTTCTTTATTTCTGTTGCTTCAAGTCTCTTCTTAATCTGAGAGTGGATGGTCGCGAAGTCACTGCCTTATAGCAGGACTCATATTAAGTAACAGTTTAGTATTCTTTTCTATATTTCTAGCCAATACTTTGCTTAGCTTTTAGAAGGCATCTTTCGCTACCCAAATGCGTCATCGGATTTCGTTTTCGTACTTTTCCTTCTATGTTAAAACACTATCCAGATATCTAAATTGTTGTAATTGTTTGATTTTGGTATCTAATTTGTAATTTCAATGTAGACCTGCTCCGTTTACTGACGACCATGCACTCTGTCTTCTTTCAAATGATGTTTAGTTTCTTTCTTTTCAGTTTATCTAATTACCTTCTGTAGGAGTTTGTGTAATTTCCTTTCTGCATCTGCTATCAACACTGTAACATCAGCATATCTGATATTGTTAAGATTGTGGCCGCCAATAATGAATCCTGATCCGTTACCGAAATTGAACACGGAATATAATACTTCATCATCCGTTTCCTTCACACTAAATTTCAGCTTCTCTTACAACAAGTTTCGATTCAAGGCTCACTGGACATTCAAAAAGCGCTGCTAAATCCACAATGTACATTAATTGACTGACAAAACAACTAAATCCGGGCGCTTGTCTCTTAAAGCGACTTCAATAGGAAAGACAACCTAACGTTCTAATGGCGATGTGTAGCTTCCTTTGCCCATTTATCGTCTGTTTACGGCATTGCTTTCATTGACCTCCGTTGTTTCTTCGGTTAACCAAAATGATCCATACGCACTGCATGCAATGTTACACTGAAAGAGCGCAAATTGACCTTTGTCTGATCTTTCAAGCTATGAAGCATACGGAATGATAATTCATCATCGACCATTTTTCATTTTACTTCATCAGCGCTCGATCATCTCATTCCCCCTACACTTTCTCTTTCGGTTTACACACACACAAACACAAACACACACATACACACGCACGCATATTTATTTCTCCAAACATTGTTTTTATTGGCCCGTATAAAAGAAAAACAGGGCCTATTTTAAAATCGTGTAACCAGGAAAAATAACATTATTTCCATTATTCGGACTATTGTCCTCATCTTTGTCGCCATATTCATTACAACGTTTCGGCCGTTGTACGCTCCGGCCTTCTTCAGGTGGTTGGAATGTCGAACTGGACCCTTTATTTCTATCACTGGGGTAGACTGTTCTAGTTCCACGTGCCATATTTAATGGATGTCAGTTATCAGTTATCTCCTGTTAATTTTCCCTCTGAAGGTTCTCCACTGCCTTAACCGAGTATTGAACTCACAGTCTTTGGGTACTGTCACTGGCTGTAACCAACGCCTTTATCCACTGTGCCATGTGTCCTTGTCGACATTCCAACCACCTGAAGAAGGCCGGAGCGTACAACGGCCGAAACTTTGTAATAAATATGGCGACAAAGATGAGGAGAATAGTCTGAATAATGTAAATAATGTACATACTACTACCAAAAATAACGTTTGAAATTATAAAAATGTCGGACTAAAAATAAAACCATTAATTCTTTAGAAAAACACATACACACAGAAACACACAGGCACAGACACACACGCACCCCCAACACACACACACACACACACACACACACACACACACACACATATATATATATATATATATCGAGAGAGAGAGAGAGAGAGAGAGAGAGAGAGAGAGACGGACGTAGTCTGTTTGAAAAGGTAACGGAACTGGTTTCACAAACATTTTATTTCAATTCCGAACAACAGACTACATGATTTTCTCTTCAACGTAATCCTCTTGGAGTAATGCACTTTTTCATTCTTTTTCTGACAAGCTTCTATTCACTGATGGAAGGATCCTTCTTTGACACCCCTCAGCTGAGTCGCTACGGTTTTCTTCTTGGTGTCCACACCTTCACAATGTATCCCTTTGATGATTCCCCTGAGCTTGGGAATATGCAAAAAGTGACACAGAGTGAGGTCAGGTGAACAGGGAGGTTGTTTCTAGTTCGGCGACGCTCTTACGGGACAGGAACTGACGGATTCTCAGGGCGTTGTGAGCAGCCACAATTTGTCCTGCTACAGCTCTCGTCTTTCCCGTGCAATGAGAGAAGCAAACGCCGCTGGATTTCTTTATAGACTTGTTGATTAATCGTCTGGTTTAGTGGCAAGAACTCATTGTGGAGGAAGCCTTTCATATCGAAGAACGTGATCAGTCCCATTACTTTGCACACAGGCCTCGTATATATAAATATTTTTTTTATTACAAACTTTAAAATGGATGCTGGTTTTTTTTTTTGGTTAAAAAAAAACATTGTGCATTACTTCTACCGGTTTGAACAAGCGAGAAAATTAAAATAAGAAAATGTGCTCTCAGGCAGAGTTCAAACCTATATCACCAGCTTGACCCGACGTGCCTTAGACCGCTTGGCCATAGGGGATGTCACATCCCCGCAAGATTCTATTTACACAACTCCTCGTTCAGTTATAATCAAACACCCATATCAGTTTAGTTTCGTATCTAAAACATCTAAAGCAATTTCAGAGATTTAAATGCAACGCCAATCGCAATCTGCTGTCTTCCTGTTGCTGATCTTTTATTGTCCTTTCTCCTCACTAAGTTATTCCCTTTCTCTTTCTTTCTCATTAACTTATGGAGTCTTAGGTACATTATCACCTCCACTGGAGTGAAATGATTAAAAAAAAATGACACCGTAATTAAAAGCGTGTGGTCAATTAAGATAGATAGATAAATGGAGGGGAAAAAAGAGAAATACATACAGAGAAACATAGAAAGAGAGAAAAGAATCAGTGACAGAGAAATAAAGTAAAAGAAATATACACATTGAGAAACAAAGAATTTCCGTAAAAGTATGGATACATAAAGAGGTATTTTGAAGTTTTTAACTTTCATGTCTATGTGCATGTGCTATAGTTTTTTTTATGTAGTAGCTGATGGAAAGTTGGGACAATATTGTCAATGGAAACATCACGAAATGGTCCTTACATTTTCATATTAAAAATTATCCTTAGGGAAAACGCACAGAACGTAATTTAGTTTGATGAAGTCCCCACTTAGGGTTCTGTAAGCCTTCTCTGGGATTTGCCCTCAGGAGTAATTGCCTCTAAGAGAATTCTCTCTGTAACTCAGTATCCCGATGCTTTGAGTTGCACCATTAAACACAAGAAAGAAAAAACATGTAATGAAAATTATTACCAAACCAAATAGAGAAATATGACGGATTGCTCTAAGGCATTTTGGAGGAAAAGGTTCTCCGAGTTCTAATAAGTTATAAATAATCTTTTTTTTTTTTTTTTTTTAAAAAGAAAAAAAAAAATATTTCTTTTCCTCTTACATTAAAATGCAAGATCCTTGATAATTTTAAAAATGGCGTAAGGACAGGGATTGCGCATGTACACGTAGGTTAATGTAAAAGAGTACGCATGCGCGAAAAACTTCAACAAAATAAAGAAAACAAAGAAAAAAAAAGAAGGCAGCCCGAGACAGTTTTGAACGAAAATACTTAAAGCAAAGTTTAAAGGTGAAGATGCTGGTTAAGTTAGGTCTTGGGATGTGGAAGAAAAGAAAATGGAAAGGCTTTATGGCGTATGGGTTGGGTTGTAGGTTGTTAGTCCTAATGAACGACTGCAATCTATCGAAGGTTGGCTGTGCATTAGAGAAATTAAAGGGGATGTAGAAACGAGCAAATTGCTGGGAATGACCTCCAAATCCAAACTGCCATTGCTTAATCTGCCTCATTCAATTTCACTACCTTCATCAAAGTTCTCTTCTGCACATTTTCACTTAACTCGTTTATGCGAGAGTTTGTTTATTTTATTTCTCTTTTTTTTTTCTGTGAATATTTAATTCTTCCTTCGTCGTTTCTTTCTCCCAATGTCTGCTTCTTTCTTCCTTTGTATACTTGCTTCTTTCTTTCTCCATACAACTGCTTCTTTCTTCCTTTGTATACTTGCTTCTTTCTCCATATAACTGCTTCTTCCTTCCTTTGTATACTAGCTTCCTTCTCTATATAACTGCTTCTTTCTTCCTTTGTATACTTGCTTTTATTTTCCTTTCTACCTACGACTGCTTCTTTCTTTCTTTGTATACTAGCTTCATTCTTTCATCCATTGACAGATTTTTTCTTCCTTTGTATACTTGCTTCTTTCCCTTTTTCTGTCTAACTGCTTCTTTCTTCTTTTCTATATTCGCTTCTTCCTTTCTACTTATAACTGCTTCTTTCTTCCTTTCTATATTCCCTACTCTCTCCCTATGACTGCTTCCATCATCTTTTGTATACATGCATCTTTCTTTCTCCCTATAAATGTTTCTTTATTCTTTTTTATACTTACTTTTGTCTTTCTTCCTATAACACGTCATACTTCCTTTGTATACTTGCTTCTTTCTTTCGTTCTTTCTTTCTTTCTTTCTTTCTTTCTTTCTTTCTTTCTTTCTATGACTGCTTCTTTCTTCCTTAGTATGTTTGGCTCATTCTCTTTCTTTCTTTGTAGAATTATTTCTGCCTTTGGATACTTGTTTCTTTCTTGTTTTTTTCCTTCTCTGAATATTACCTTCCTCCTTTATTTACTTACCTCTTTCTCTCCCTATCTCTCTTTCTCTCTCTATCTCTCTTTTTCTCTTTCTTTCTTTCTTTCTTTCTTTGTAGACATATTTCTGCCTTTGGATACTTGTTTCTTTCTTTCTCTGAAGATTTGGTTCTTTCGTTGTATACTTGTTTTTTTTTTCCTTCTCTGAATATTACCTTTCTCCTTTATTTACTTAACTCTTTCTTTCTTTCTTTCTTTTTCCTCTGTATAATCCTTTCTTCCTTTGTATATTTGATTCATTTTCTCTATAAAAGATACAAATTATTTCGTCATTTGTATCGTTATTCTTTTTTTCCTCTAAATGAATCATTTTTTTGTATGCCCGATTCTCTCTCTCTCTCTCTCTCTAGATACTTCTTTCTTGCTATGAAATACTAGTTCTTCTTTTCCCTGAATATTTCATTCTTTGCTTGTATAACTGTTTCTTTCTTTCTCAAAATATTTTATTATTCTTTCTAAACTTGGTTCTTTCTTTATCCCTTTGATAGCTTGTCTCTTCCTTTTTTATATTTGTTTCTTTTTTTCAGTGAATATTTTCCCTCTTTTGTATATTTGATTCTTTCTTTCTTTCGTTCTTTCTTTCTTTCATATTTGGTTTGTCTATTATAATTTTGTACTTGCAGAATTATATCTACCTTTAAATCTAATGATGTTGTCCAGATAAATGCAGAAAAATTGATGAAGGTTCTTGAACGATTGTCAGAAGTCTTTAACCTGAATATTATATTCAAGCACCACCGTGCATTTTTACATTCTCCAAAACTGATTGTTATCCAAATTACCAAAAACATTTAAAAGACACAAAACTAATAAAATAAACCCAACCTTTCTCTCTCTCTCTCTCTCTCTATATATATATATATATATATATATATATATATGTGTGTGTGTGTGTGTGTGTGTGTGTGTCTAATAGAATCTTGTGACCCCCTCATTAAACGATCGCTGTGAAGCAATAAAACTGCTGTGATGTAAAAATGAAAAAATAATTTTAAAAATTAGTGCTTGAAAGTCTGAAGAAGATTATACAATGTGTCTATTGTAAAATATTTACATTATTCGGACTAATATCGTTATCATTGTCGCCATATTTATTACAACGTTTCGGACGTTGTACCCTCCGGACTTCTTCAGGTGGTTGGAATGTCAAACTGACCCATTATTTCGCTCACTGGGGTAGACTGTTCTCGTTCCACGTTTTAATTTAATTATCAGTTATCTCTTGTTAATTCCCCTCTCCAAGCTCTCCACTGCCTTAACCGTGTATTGAACTCACACTCTTTGGGTCCTGTCACTGGATTTAACCGATACTGTTATCCACTGTGCCGTGTCCTTGTATGAATTGCTTGGTATTATAAATGTCTCAGCAAACGTTTTTTACCAGTGCTCATATTGCAATTTTTGCTGCTATGTTTTTTACCAGAGCTGATATTGCAATTTTTGTTGGTATTATCGCTTTTTCTCTGGCACTACTTATTACTGGTTCTCATATTGTATTCATTTCTATGCTTGGTCGGATCAGGAGATTTTTGTGGCCTAGCATATGTGCTGATTCCTTAAGTTTACGAATTTTCCAATGGTGTTCTTTGTCTATGATCTCAACCTGATCTCACAGAGGGTGGTAATCTCCCTTTTTTCTCCATATGTGGTCAGCCACGTCTGAGTTTTTCATTTCCCCGCCTGAGATATATAGACAGTGTCCATAGTAATATGTGAACTAATAGAATTTTATACTATTAACACCAATAGAATTTTATATTATTACGATGTGTAAACATATTTTCCATATTTGGGAACAAATTGTAATGAGGAATATATCATTCTAACTAATAATCATAAGACGCAGTTAAAAATAAATTTGAAGTACACAAGAATACCTAAGCTTTTGCCAATAGTGGCAGCATATACAGAGGATAAATGGAAAAGCGTCGTTCGCCTCTATGACAACGCAAGGCCACATACAGCAAGAATAGGACAGGATTTTGGGGAGAATTTGGTTAGACTGTTCTATTTGACCCGCCATATTAACCTGGTCTTTCACCTACAGATTATTATCTTTTTTTGTTCCGGTTCAAGAGTACGTCGAAAACTATGGAATTTTACTGAAAATTTTCCGAAGACCGAGCTGAAATGTGGCAATAGCTCGTCCTAAATAATTCTAAATAAATAAGAGAATAACAATGATTTGGACTTCATTTCTGGAAGAAGAAGAAGAAGATCGATAAATAAAATGGGAAATATTTATAACTCAAGCTTAGAAAACCTGTGAAGTATTATCATTATTTTTAATATGGACATATAAGATAAAACTCACTCGATATAGTGCTCGTTTAAATATATGAATATCGTGAAAATTCTGCCAGCATTATTGAATACAAATTCTATAGGGAAAGAATTTTATTGCATACTATGAATGAGTACGCATGTATGAAAATACGTATTATCAATTTATATCTGGTTCTAAACAGGTGGGTTGAAATAAGATGGTATGAAATTACTTTTTGAAATATAAACAAATGGATTTAAAAATATCTTTTGTGTAAAACAATATATTAATTCCAGAGCGTATCCTCATAATAAAATTTTATATTCAAATCTCTATCAATCACAGTATCGATCAGACGAATGTATGTACGTAGGTACGTTTGTATGTATCTATGAATGTATGTGTGTGTGGGTAGCTCTCTATCTGTTTAACATATTTCTTTTCGTATCTTAGTGTTCAACCTATGTATGTATGTATGTATGCATGCATCTCTCTGTCTAAATATATTTTTATATTTGCGATTTTAATTAATGGCTTGAAAATATCGTTCTAAACATAAAAAAGCCAATTTAGTATAAACGTTTTGGGGCAGAACTATATATTAAATTTAACTGGTGTACGCAAGAGTAGCCGGCAGTCTTTTCTTGAAAAGTAGAGGCTGAACGAACAGCTAAAAATCGGTGTGTGACTGAACATTTTTACTTTTACTTAATATATCGTAAATTTACAGATAATTTATTTTTATTTAAATATCTATCTATCTATCTGTCTATCTATCTATCTATCTATCTATCTATCTATCAGTCTAATTATCATTTTATTATCTATCTATCTATCTTTCTATCTATCTATCTATCCCCATCTATCTATCTATCTATCTATCTATCTATCTATCTATCTCCAACTCTCAATCTATCTATCTATCTATCTATCATCTATCTATCTATCTATCTATCTATCAGTCCAACTGTCTGTCTATCCCTATCTATCTATCTATCTATCTATCTATCTATCTATCTATCTATCTATCTATCAGTCCAACTGTCTGTCTATCCCTATCTATCTATCTATCTATCTATCTATCTATCTATCTATCTATCTATCGGGGGTTAAAATATTCGTTCTTCGATTATAAACTCGAATCCCCCCATGGTCATTTAGTAAGAAGGGTGGCTTCTTGATGTTATTGACCTTGGGAGGCGATCACAGCGCGCGGCACATGTGGAAAGCGCCTGAAAACCATATGACCGGTTGACCCAAGCCTTGTGAGTGAAATTAGCTTTGATGAAAGTAAATGGTTGTACTATTATGAAGCCATCGTGGCCGAGTTTGTGAGAGTTCTGGCTCTGTCCATACTGTTGAACACGCCAGATAATGCGCTCCCTCCCAGAAACTGTAACTAAGGTCCTCTCAACATATTTGCAGTGTAAACCACAGGTGAGCCATATGGGTGTTGAACAAATGCAAATGTGACTGAGCAGGCATTGGATAGCCTCGCTAGTAGACAAAATACGAACGTCAAGCTATCTATCTATCTATCTATCTATCTATCTATCTATCTATCTATCTATCAGTCTAACTGTCTGTCTATCCCTATCTATCTATCTATCTATCTATCTATCTATCTATCTATCTATCTATCAGTTCAACAGTCTGTCTATCCCTATCTATCTATCTATCTATCTATCTATCTATCTATCAGTTCAACTGTCTATCTATCTATCTATCTATCTATCTATCTATCTATCTATCTATCTATCTATCTGTCTGCCTTCTACTATACTCTTTAAGATTTAAATATGCAAGTCTGTGTCGTTACAAGAAACCGATGTTGGTAATATTTTCTCGAAAGACCAATATTTATATGATAAATATAACATTAAGAATTTCTGTTGACAAGATCGTCTCAGAAATATTTCCAATAACTGATTTGGCGTTTTGAAATTTTATTATGAAACCCATATTGTAGAAAAAGTATAATAGATTATTGTTGAAGCTTGGATAAGCATGGAATAATAGTAATACAACACAAAATGTATGTAAACAAAATGTATTGAAACAAGGAAAAGGTACACAATATTTACAGTTAGTTTTGGTATATTCTTGGGAAGACTGCTCCTGTAGAATGGGTTGACTTAATCGCAGTCGGGCAGAGTCTCTGGATTGGATCTCTTGTTACTTCTTTCACCCGTCTTCCCGGTACCAACCCATATTTATATGGTCGGTACTCCACTATGTAAATTAGGTGGATCGTACCACAACAATTATGTATTGTTTCTTTTTGTCAGTTGAATTATACGCAGATAGCTTTATTTGAATCGTGAGAAAGATAAGGTCAAAAGCGAAACAAGACATTAGGGATAAGTGGACAATCTTGGAAACTTCAAAAATGTCGAACAAAGGTCACAGAACAATAAAAATTAAAATTGGAAATATTGGGAAATCAAGAACAAGGATTAAAAGTGATTTTAAGAATGTCAGAAAAAGAGATTTGAGAAAAATTAAATGGTTTGCTTTGGTTTGTTTTATGGCATATCAACCACAAAGTGTTATTTAATGCCAAAAATATTTTTAAATGCATATATATATATATATATATATATATATATATATATATATATAAATATATATATATAATAATAAAAAATTTTTTTTAACAAAATCACTTTGTAAACCAGGTTTCATTAACACTTTTGAGAAGAAGGCTTCTGTCGAAAGAATTGTGTTTTTTATATATATATATTTATATTTTTGGTATTATTTTTTGCTTCAATAAATAATTTCAGGCAATATTTATTCTTTACATATCCAGTTTCCAAGTTTTATTTCTGCAAATAGGGTGTTTTTAACAATAGTCTCGCTTCATAGATATTTTTGCCCCCTTTTTTTCTAAAAACTGTTTTATCGTTATTCTTTCCTGTTTTATATTTTCTTGGTTTGGTTTGGCTTGTTTTACGGCATATCAACCTTAATGGATTATTTAATGCCGACTAGATTTTTATTACCGGTAATATTTTTTTTTCGAAAATCTATTGCTGATAATATTATTTCTTCAAAAATATATTTCTGGTAATATTTTTTTTTAAAGAAGGTATTGCTTGTAATATTTTTTCCAAAAACAATTGCTGATATAAAAACCTATTTTTATACTTGCATAGTGTCTTGATCACTTTGGGGGGTTAACTATTTGCCCACATCTGGGACCCTGACAGGTGCTACCACCCCAGGTGAGGATGGACCTGGGAACACCAGCAATTAAGAGGTAGTTCCACGCTCATCAAAACCTTCTGATCAAAGACCTTGCTGTCGGATGTATTTTGTCGTCATAGCCAGGACGGAAAATTAATTGGATAATAAGCAAGAAAATGGTTTGATCAGAGAAAAATGTTTGAAAAATCTTATCTCTCTCTCTTACTGTATCTAAATATCTCATGTACATATGCCTGTTTATATCTATCTATCTATCTATCTATCTATCTATCTATCTGATGTAATGGAATAACAAGTCACCCCCATGAATGATTACACTATAGGTAGTAAGTACCTATAAAGTCAACTGTCTACGAGAAAAGTGTGACAGCGAGACGACGCAAGCACCTTCCAATTAGTGACACTCACTACTGACCTGTGTGTGTAACTGGACCGTATTTCATATTGTACTTGTGTAAAATAAACCTTTCTTCTAGTATCCAGCTGGTGTTATGTGTTTATTCACTTAGCGCGGAATATAACACTATCTATCTATCTATCTATCTATCTATCTATCTATCTATCTATTCCGTATTTCTCTCACTATTTAATCTCATCTATACATACATGTTTCTTTCTTTTTTTTTCTGTCTATCTATCTATCTATCTATCTAAAACTATCTATGTTTTTTCTAATTCTCTCTCTCCCTCTCTCTCTCTCTCTATCTCTCTATCTATCTATCTATCTATCTATTTTTTTCTGTCTATCTATCTATCTATCTATCTAAAACTATCATGTTTTTTTTCAAATTCTGTCTGTCTATCCTCTATCTCTCTCTCTATCTATCTATCTATCTATCTATCTATCTATCTATCTATCTATCTATTCCGTATTTCTCTCACTATTTAAATCTCATCTATACATACCCGTTTCTTTCTTTTTTTTTCTATCTATCTATCTAAAACTATCTATGTTTTTCTAATTCTCTCTCTCTATCTATCTATCTATCTCAACTGCTATATAAACATGGAAACATTCGTATTCACATGTATAGCTCTTAGCTACATTCTAAAAGTAAGAGTTGCTTAAAAATAGCAGTTGGTTTGAGTATTTCTAAACTGATAAGTGATATTTTTCGTGCCGCCATTTTCCATTGTGCACATCGGAAAGGAACCAAGAAGGAATGCTGCAAACCTTTTGTGAATCCCGCGCCATTTCGCCCTGCATCTGAGACTCTGCTCAAGAATTTTAAACGAAATGCGAAAGAAGCGTGTTTTGCTGTTGTTAAGAAATTCTTGGACGGCGAAGAATTCTTGTCTTTCTGTCGGCGTGTAAGTGTCGACAAGAATCGGGCAAATGTAGAACAGTGAGTGGGGGGAGTAGTTTTCGAACGTCGGCAGGTTTTGTCATGAAGCACTGACAGGCTATTATGGCAACGACAAGAATTGTCAAAGAAAAAAAAAACACTTCAATTAGAATAATGCTTCATCGTGTCTTGAAGGAAGAAAATATTTCTAGGGAGTCCGGTTTAAAAATAGACTTACTTAAAGATAGCAAATAAAAGTCTCTAATGTATGTATTTGCCTAGATGAGTGTGTATGTAGAAACATTATAATGAAATATAGAATTCAACTCGACAGAACACGAAAATTAAATTATTTACTAAAAAACTCTAAAACTACTAACTTTATTATTAATAAAAGAAACTCACCTGCATGATTTACATTACAGAGAATTAATATTATTTACGAATTTACATGTACCTTAAGAAAATGTGTATTGATCAACACACATTCAGAAATAATTATATTAGATATACTACTACATGCTTAACAAGAAGACTCACATGATATCTCTCTGACTATAGCTCAATTAGGTCTCATTTAAATATACATGAAAACCTAATGAATTCTATCCGCAAAATACTTGTTGATAATACAAATATAATATCCTCATCCACATGTAAAAATAAGGTTAAACGTAATAGAAACATTATTAATAAAAAGTAAAAACAGTCAACTCTGAATAATATCAACTATGAACACGACCGTAATGCGCTGACCGTGTTCGGAAAATAAAACATTCCTATAACTCATGCCTAAAACAATAATAATGCATAAAACAATCAATGCATCCAGTTTTAAAAAAATCATCATTGATAAAGGCTGAAAATATAACCTACGTAACATTCGGACAATTTCGACATAATTTATGTCCGGAAAAGAAGATAATTATAAGAACACAAGAATTAATTAAATAAAATACTTAACAGCAACATCTTGTCCGTCGTTTTAATGATATATATATATATATATATATATATATATATATATATAAATAAATATAAAAAAAAGTGAACATAGAAGTCAACACTTAGAGGCGACAGTCTGTTTCATGCTATATGCAATCGTCAGGCCACGTGTGCTGTTATTTTTCTCGGCTATTTATACATATACGGGTCAGTGGCGCATTGTGGGTAGTCTATTATGGCGGTTATTTTATCGGAAGTCGTTTAGTTAAATTATTTTGCTTGTTTTTATTTAAATTTATTTTTTGTTTCTTATTTTATTTATTTATTTATTTACTTATTTATTTTTTAATCGGTGTTTTTATTAACGTAGTAAAAATTTGTTTATAGCACTTATTTAATAGTTTTGTTTTGGTTTGAGAATTTAATTAAAGCTATTTGTTCCGTTTGGGGGTTGGTTGTAGTTTTATTCTAACTATTATTTTGGCAGAAACAGTTTTAATTTGTGTTTATTTGGGTTGATTATCTTTATTTGTTTATAAATAACAGCACACGTGGCCTGACGATTGCATATAGCATGAAGCAGACTGTGGCCTCTAAGTGTTGCCTTCTATGTTCACGTTTATATTTACACACTCTATCTCTGATATCGAGCACTTTATCCCATAAATATAGCACACCTTGACTATATTTCTTCATATATATATATATATATATATATATATATATATATATATATAGATTAATTGATTTAAAATATGGTTTAAATCAATTAATTTATAATATTAATGCTCTGTAAATTTACATTGAGCATTATTTTGTAAAAATAAAAATATCTATAAGAACACCGGATTGTATATCTTACTTTTCTGTTCTTTTTTTTTATTTATATATATATATATATATATATATATATATATATATATATGTGTGTGTGTGTGTGTGTGTGTGTGTGTGTGTGTGTGTACAGTAATTCCTTGAGATACGAGTTTATTTTTGTATATTGTTTTTGTTTTTATATAGTATATTATTTTATTCTTTAAGCACTTTAAACTGATGAGGTTATCGGTCAGAATAATATCTCTCACACCAATTTTCAGGGATAAACATTATTTGCTCGCATGTGTCTCTTTCTCTCTCAATATATATATACATACATATATATATATTTATATATATATTTATATATATATATATATATATATATGTGTGTGTGTGTGTGTTTGTGTGTGTGTGTGTTTTTGTGTGCGTATGTATACAGTAATGCCTTATGAGATACGTGTTCCAAGACCAAGTTTGATACTCAAAAGTCTAGTATCTCAAATCAATTCTCGCCATTGAAGTTAATGGGAATATTTC